CCCGCCCCTCCAAACCACCACCATCACTAAGAGAAAAATCAAGCAGACAAAAAAGAAAACTTTCAAACCAACAAACAAGAAAACTTTCAAACCGACACAAAAGCTGAACAAAACTAAACTAAACAACCAATCTTCTTTTCTTCTGTTTTTCCATCTATTCTTATCTATATTGCACATTTTCTTTGCCTCATCCCTCAGTGGTGTGCAAGGGAAGTCCTGTCCTCTTGACCTCTGGCAGGTGACTGGTGACGTCAGTTCAGCTCAAAGCAGTACGTCCAACAGCCGAAGTCGTGAGGAAAAACTAAGGGGTGAGCAATTACGTCAGGTTTCCTCACTTGCTGTCTTGATGATTATTAAACATGTGTTTCTAATACGCTAATCTATTAAAAACTGAACAGCCAGTACGCTGAATGCGCCATTGGCTCAGTTGGTATTGCTCTGGGATTAGCTGTAAATGATGCTTTGCTCAGTTGGTATTGCGCTGGGATTAGTTGTAAATGACGCTTTTTTCGAAACATCAATGAAGTCTTCTGGAATTTGGGTTGTTTGAGAAGTATTTGAGATTCTCAAACTGCATGGCTGACCCCTATATGAGTTGGACATCAATTTTAAAGATTCTACTGCAGAAATAACTTTACACTGTTGAAAGAGGTGTTACAATAAACCTGAAGCATAGCATAGCAAAGATTAGCATAGCATAGCATAGCATAGCATAGCATAGCATAGCATAGCATAGCATAGCATAGCATAGCATAGCATAGCAAAGCATAGGATATCATAGCATAGCATAGCATAGCATAGGATATCATAGCATAGCATAGCAACAGGCAGTTCTGTACTAGATCTGGAAACAGCCATGAACCGACACTGACTGGTTTCCGAGGTGCCCACGTCATCAGTTCTTGGCTTTGGATCTCACAGGGAGGCCATACCATACCATACCATACCTTACCATACCGTCCCATGATGTACCATACCATGCCATACGTCCCATGCCGTACCATACCATACCGTATCGTAGCGTTCCGTACCTACCGCAGCAAGGATAGTTACATTACAGTAACATGCAAACAAATTTCTATTAGTGAACAACCCTAATGAGTTTAAACTTAAGCAGCATGTTTTGTGTAGATATGATTATAGTCAACGTAGATTTCTCAAGAAAACATTATCCTAGTAACCACTAACGTAATCGCCCCGTATAGCATAGATAAATGCTCACCATTTTCAAAGAAACACGTCTTTTGATCTGAATAGGTATATATTATTATTATAAAGTGTTTAAAGATGACCCTCCCTCAAAAACATTTAACACGATATAAAGAAAGAAAAAAATGATATTCTAAATACAGCCGAACTTTAAAAAATTATCTAAAGGCCACCTGTCCAAGACAATCAACCGTTGGCTTCAAACACTATTTTCCCCTTGCGTTTTCAATATTATAAACGAATCGTCCAAGACATCCACGGTACCTGCCAAAAAATTATATTTTTGTCCTCGACGATGGGTGGCCGTGTTGGACAATTTCGATTGTTTGAACGTTTTTTCTCCAGATATGACCCTTGAAAGAAAATATTTTAAGAGATGTAAAGAATGAAAAAATATATTGATGTTCTAAATACTTTACTTCATATTTCATTACATTTTTTGCTCTTTCAGACTTGAAGGCCAGCAAACCTCCAGGTAACAAAGCCACACCTCCTAAACTGCCCCTAACAGTAGTAACGTCATCCAAAGTGACGAGTGAGACCGGGGAGGCGGCGTTACGAGGCGAAAGGCGGGGCTTGACTCCTCGTGATGACACACCCTCCGCGGCGCTGGACCTGTCGCCCAGACACGGCCCCACCCATTCTCCTGAGGACGGGGACGAGTCTCCAACTAGCAAGTCGCCAGCCGTGACGTCAGCTGACGGTAAAAACAAAAGGAGGAAAATGGAGAACCCACGGAAACGGAAGCGAAGCAGCAGCGACCCCATTGACTTCAGCAAAAACTGTGACGTAGCGCTCAATTTGACAAGACCGACAGAGGATAGTTCAAGCAGTATTGCGCCCTTGGACCCTGAGTGTGCATTGACGAGCGGGGCTGCGGATGAGGACACAGTGATGCCAGGTAATCGTGGAATTCCCGAACCGGGGTCAGTGGTCTCTGGAAAGAGCAACACTGTGACATCATCAGCCCCAGAGGACTTATCAATGAAGCGTGGAGCTGAAAAGTCACAGGAGAGGAACATTATCCAACACTCGTCAACGTCTGTGCGCGGGACACCTCCAGCGCTGAAGAGGGTCGACAGATCAGCAGACGTTACCCACTCCCCGAGTCCCGTCTCCATGACAACAGGCAGTTCGGTGCTAGATCTGGAAGCAGCCATGAATCGACACTTACCGGTCTCCGCCGTGCCCACGTCATCAGTTCTGGGCTTTGGTTCTCACGGAGAGTCCATGCACCCCAATATCGGCATGTCCACCATGTCTGCAGGGGGAGTTAAGCCTTACCCTGCAAACTCTGGCCTCCCACCCCACAGTAACTCCCCTTGGATCACGAACTCTCGCGGTACGGGACCGGATATGCTAACAGCATCCAACTTCCTGCGCAGTCTGTACGCTAGCCGAGAGTCTGTCATCAAGACAAGCTCCAGATCTCAGCAGCAATATGTGAACTCGGAACCTCCGACTAGCCTATTAACACCCCCAGAACCCGACCCTTCGACATACAGAGACCCTAACAATATATACTCTTATCCCAAACACGACTCGCTGTCCTATGACAAGAACGTCAACGCCTCCTACGATCTCAGAGACCCCACCCATAATCACAAAGACTCTGCCCACAAAGATCAGCTGCCTCTCCTTCCGTACAAAGACCACCACCTTTCACCTGCCTACATGGACCACATATCTTCCAGCATGTACAAAGATCACATCTCCTCCCAGTACAAAGACATCATACCAGCCTTCACGATCCCGAGTCTGATGAGTCCTGCAGGTGGGCGTAAACAGCCGCAGTACCCGACCCTACCCACGCCCTTCCCCGTTCCTCTAACTCCCGGATTGGCTGACGCATGCAGCATGACTCCTCCCTCCTCCAACTCACCAGACGCTACAAGCCACGCCCCTCACCCATCCGCACAACAGTTTGATGGGCCTTCTCTCTACGGAGGGATGGACCTAAACGCCACTGCCGCAGGCTGTGGACTGTCTCAAAAACACCTGACTGACAGTTCCATGCCACCGTCTTCATCCCCTTCTGTCAACAATATTTACCACCACACAGTCAAACCCCACAAAGACCAATTTTTCCCCACTCCATCTTCCAGCGATCTTGTCAAGGGAGGCTATTACGGAATGCCCGCACCAGCCCCTGGAACTATGTATATGGACCTATCCCAAACCTCTGCCGCTGGTCAGTACGACACGTGCGCTAGACCTATATTACCGTGGTATTAGGCTGACACAGACGTGACACAAACAAAGAAAGTTAGTGTACTGCAACTTAACACATCCTCTACAGAAGGCATAAGATGGAACTTTAACATTTGAAACACTGAGGCCATTTTGCACAGTATATCAAACAGTGGCTGCGCACAGTTAGCTCTTCACTGCGAGGTTTAGGCGTGCCGCTTGCCGAAATTGTCAGTAAAGTTGACAACGGTACTGGTGAACCAAGCTGGATCAAAACGTGTGCGCGTCTTCGGACACAAAGCTTTATAGAGAGTTTTTCATGTTTCTCTCTCATTCTGTCATCCCTTCTTGTTAGAGGGGGACAATGCTTTGGAAGTCTTGCATGTTTAAGGCTCAACGTTGTGTTAAAGACAAACTATAAATCTCGAGGATATACAGATAAAGGGATTTTGTTTTCCCTGGTTTCTGTCTTCGCCGAAGGATGCTGCATTTCAAAGTGTGGTCCCTGCCTGTGGTATTTCCCGTATCATCGTATGTCATACAATTTTATTGTTTTCACTAGTCATAAACTAGTCACGCTGTGACCTGTCTTTAGTGATTTCGGTGCAGGCTGATTTTCTGGACTGAAATCAAAGTGACTTCTTCCAAATGTATAAATAACATAATTAGTTCTTTTAAAATGAGAACATGAGAGGAACGTGGAATAGACTCTCTGGGATATTGCCTTTATGTTGCTTAACAAGTTTTCACAAGGTAATAGTCATTTACTAGTGTAGAAATACACAATACAAATATTACTGATAATACTATAACTTCCACTTTTCAAACAACTGTTTATAGAGAGAAAACCAGCTGCCTCTTTGCCTTTCGACCATGTTCTCTACTTCTGGGTCGTATTGAATGGGTCTTTTTAAAACAATACTTCAAGTATTGCACATTCGCAGAAAGACAATTTTTAAAAGTAGAACGAGACAACTGAAGTTGTTTACAAGTCCGATATTAATCCTTTTTTTTTTATGCATTCGGTCTTCAGCACTGCGAAAGACACTACACGCAATATGACTACATGTCAGTACAAGTGTTTATCATATAATGTTTTTTAAATATCAAATATAGATGAATGACCTTACTTGTAGGGTACAAACTTGATGTAAGAGTTACCTGAAATGTTGATGCAAAATATGGGCTACTCCTCTGTATGAAGACTCGACTGCGGAGGAGCTCTTATTTCTCTTTTTCTGTCATTTGATCTTTGAGTATCATGGCTGGGTCAGCAAATAAAGATACAGCTAGAATCAATACATACTATCATTTACTAATAAAGCTGATTCCAAATATTGTGAGCTCAAAGGATAGGAAACCGAATTATATCTGAACATTTTAATAACGCTGAAAAGCAAACTGTAGCCTACATTTGAGCTAACCCGAACCCTAAATCAAACTTTAACCTTAACTAAACCCCAAACCTAACCCTTAAACTAATGCTAAACCTAATGCTAACCCGAATTCGAACCCTAATCCTAACCCGAACCCTAACCTTAACCCTATCGATAACGCTACTAATCCTAACCCTGACTCTGACCCTTACCTAGACCCTGACCCTGACCCTAATCTTAACCCTAACCCAAACCCTAAAACCCGAATTGTAACCTTAACCCCAACACTAACCTTAACCCCAACCCCAACCCTAAATCTAACCCGAACCTGAACCCTAATCCAAACCCTAACCCTGTAAACCTAAAAACAAAGCACAGCTAGTGTGTATCAGACCGCCTTCGTGTAAGCCATGTTTAACCAAGTGGAACATTCTGGTATGGATGCATCTAAAGTTTCATGATCATTGGCTCCTCCGCGTTGTGGGCAAGGCGTCATCACTACAACTCCTCTTAGGTGCCCCCTGTTTGAAATAAGGGCAAAGTTCTACCTCGGGTCTCTCTTCTTAAAACAAATATGAATCTTTCAAGCATGACGTGATGGCTACCCTCCTGGTGACCTCCAATTAAATGGAGACCCCAGATATGCGTGTTATACGGGGTGCCCATTTGGAGATCGGATCGGATCGGGTTGGTTTGCTAGTTACATTGACGGCGCAAAGCGACTATCGCAGCAAAAGCTGATATTGCCCGACTCGTTGCTTTCAAGCGACGAATCAGGCGATCGACCTGATCCGACCCGACCCGACCTGAACCCATCCGCAATGGGCACATTAGGTTAAGTGGTTCTAAATGGAGCTCTCAAGTAGAAAACAAAAACAGACAAACAAATAAACAAACAAAGAAAACCCCTGTAAATCGCTGGTGCCGACGTTTAAGCAAAGCGTTTAATGTGCTTTTTAGGACGTTTGATATCTTGTATACAAAGATTAGGACCAACGATTTCTTTAAAAATAAAAACTTTTTTCCCCAAACTTCCTTGTGGGCAATAAAACAAGTATTTTCATCAGGGTCTGTAGTGACCTAGATCTAGAAATATTATACCATGTTTGACATAATTCCTTTGTACACTTATTGGTAAGCCTCCGAGACGAGTTGAAAGTCTCTCTCTGCCTGTTGCTACTAAGACTACGTGATAGATTAGGATGTTTGATCGATTCAATTTATCGAAATCTGGAATGTTTCAGATACAGTTCACCTTCAGGCATAGCGACTTATTTCAAGGGAATCTCTGAATCAACACAATGTAATATGTAATATAATATTATTGTGATTCTTGTGTAATATAACGTTATGAGTCTGGAAAGTGTCAATCGATCTCAGATGTAACCTTTTATGAAAATAAGTTATGAAGAGAGTGTGTGAGAGAGAGAGAAAGAGAGAGAGTGTGTGTGTGTGTGTGTGTGTGTGT